ACTGACTCAGCAGGCAGTATGATTGACAGCTGCCCTCTCTATCTTCTACCCTGTGCGGATGGTAAAAATGCACACATCCGCTGGTTAAGCTAGCAGCATGATACCAATTCTTGCTGCATCTTTTTTGCTTGCTTGTTGACCCACATGACAATTATGGCAGCTACACTGTATAAAAAAAAATAAAAAAAAAAATAAAAAGTATCTCCTTGAGGCTTAAGGGAAGGAAAAAACAGCGTGAGATAATAACTGTTCTGATGGAGTGTGTTTTGATGTTGATAAGCTCCAGGTTACTCATTACCTTCACCAAAACCACAGTTCACATCTACTGTTCACAGCAAGCTTAGCATGAGAAACCCACAAAGTTTAGGGGAATAACCAAGACGCTACTGAGAGCAGACAACCTGTCAAAGAAAGGGTTTAAGTAAAGAAGATGGAGAACTGACTTTATTTTAAAGCTAACTTATTTCCAACTAATATCCTGATAATTTCTTAATCACTTCCTGGAAATAAGTGTGGATTTCCAGAGCAATTTCTTTCAAAACTACTTTTCCACTTAAACCCAAGTTAAAATGTATTCAATATTCATTCTATTTAATTTATTATGCATTTTAGGTAATTACTTGAAACTTTGGTAATGCCTATTTCACAGGTCTGTACATTCCAGCTTATTTCCAAATAAGATTTCTTTGAAAGGCTTTCCTTCGTTTTAATTAAGAGGTAAAATAAAGAGCGTTCAGTTGGTACACTTTCAGTTATTCCAAAATGCTAAGCTGGAACAACCTCGAGAATTTTGCAGGTGAGCTTCCCGTGCAAAAATGAGTAATAAATATTCACTGGGGTTTACATTTGTTTCACAGAAATTCATCTTGAAGTCAATAATAAATTAAAAACAGTTGAGGTTGGTACCAATTACAGAGACTGAAACTGAAATCAAACTACATGGTTGTTCCCTGGAAACTCTCAAGAATTTATTGGGAAATAATGGACCCATAAAATAAAGCTTCATGTTGCTCTTCATGTTAAACTACATGATTACCTGCGGTCAAAATGCACATTTTTGCATGTTCAGCTGACATGCTGTGCCCTAAAAGACTTGCTAGTTTAGCAGTTAATTGGAAGTGACTAATTGGAAGTATAACAATTGAACCGTCTCTAATTTACCTGAAATTTGTCCCAAATTACATAGTTCGTCTCAGGAAACTTCCTAGGAAATTAGGAACCTACGAGCCTATAAAATATGATAAAACACAAATGCTAGCAGCAGAGCTTAAAAAAGAAATAGAAATGGTACATTTTCACAGGGGCCAAGTACTGTATTGTTACTTTTTAAAAGCTGATCTTCATGTGTGATAGATGGGTTAGGGTTAGGGTACTAACCCTACATTAACTGGCCTCAGGATATCAAGCCTTCTGAGTAATAGAGATGTGTCTAATATCTACCTAGGGAATACAGACATTTGTTTATCTCTCTGAAGATGGTTTTTAAACTTGCTGCACAACTTGATCTAACCTAAAATTTAAAAAAAAAATTAAAAATTAAAGAACCAAATGTTACCATTATATAGTTGCATTGTCCTTACGTATCCTTTCAGGCCCACCACAACTTTGAATGACCCCATGAGTCAGAGCAAAACTGCAGCTAGGCTCACAAAACTTTGCTGTGACTTAATTATGACAAAGATCTGTAACTGACAAACACCATCAGCCAAATGCATCTGTGTCACTGGGGCCTTGACCTGTAACCACATCCTCTTTCCAAAGCACAAGAAGGCTTCATGCTGATAGGATGGAAAAGGAGTAGCAGCCTACTAAAATAGCCTCTTCCAGTCTCTGTTCCTGTTCAAGACTCCAAAAAACAGGCTTATATAGAACAAGGGGAAGAGGTTTTAATAGCTTGTGTATCATTATCAAAACTTTTGGTTATGAAGAGATTCGGGGGCACAGGATGAGGCAGAAGTATCGTACCTATCAACACAGAGTGTAAAACAGCGCCTTTGAGACACTTAACCTCCTTGCAGAAATGTCTGTTTCACACAGCAGTTGGGGATGGTTTTTGTGCGATTCACCAAAATAAATTCTAAACTTTTTAAGACCATCTTTAACACCACATAGAACATATTTAATGTATGTTTCATGACCATACCATCCCAAGTGTGAAGATATGATGGAAAACAATTATCAACAATATGGCCAAGAAGTTTTTTTTTAGCTCCTGTAGGCAGTTGTGGCAGTTTTTTCTACAGGAAACTCCACAAAAAAAAAAGGAAAATTTGTGAACAATCCATTATCACAAGAATCCTACTTTTTGTTTTAAAAAGGTGTGTAATGCCTCCCTACACCCTGAAATTGGATTCAAAGTCAATTTATGACCAACATTACTGCCAATATGAGGCAACAGAAAATATTCAAGACTCTCTCATATTTTCTATGACCTTCTTCTGGGGAAGCTAAATACAGTGTTTTTAAGACTTTTCAAAATCTGCAGATGCCCTGTTAGGATAATCTATTATCAATCAAGTAGTTCAAGGATGATTGGAGTACACACCTTTCTGTTTCTCACCACTCTCCTCTGCAACAGGCTGCAAAAAAAGCTTGAACCCAGACGAGAGAAAATCATTTGAGCTCTAAGGTTATCTCACTGTGAATCTACCTAATTTGCTTACAGCAGTAGCATATGTTTATCACTCCAGGTCATGCTAAGTCCCTGCAATCTGTGGCTCTGACTACACCAGAGAGCCACCAACCAACACTCCGTCGATGTGCGATTATTACAAACGTAGCTTCCCTAAAATTAATCAAAATCAGTTCAAATCATAAACCCGCTTACAGATAAATCCTTAAAATACCATAAGCTATAATCCCGGCCACTGAGGCCAGCATCTGTCCATAAACAATCCAGTTACATACCAGCATCTACTCTGAGTCCCGTTATCAAGCTTGTTAGCAAAATGCCGCTAACTAGCTAGCTTTAACTGCCTGCGACGGGCCGACACTTCATAAACCGCTAGCTACGGCTCGTTAGCAAGCAAGCTAGCTAGCCGACACATTCCTGTCCTCGGCGTATGATCAAAACATAGCTAGGCTGTCAGGAATACGCAGCAATCAAACGCGTTTACAGCTCAAATGTCCAACGGGCTTGGCAGGCTTTAAATCAACCCGCATTCCGGTGTTATTCGCTCGGGAAAGGCAACTGATTGCTAACGCTACCTGCCCTTCCGCCTGGCCTTGACTAAAATGGGAGTGCACACTCCCGTTTTGTACTTGCGGACAATTCTTCTCATTTATCCGACAAATAAAACACACCCTGCGCACTCTACCGTATCTGCTTATTGTCCCCCAAGTGTCGACGCTACTTGCGCCCAGGCAAATGAGTTATTTGACGGCGTTTAGCAGCTGGTAAAGTTTGGTATTTGCACTCACCGTTTCTCGCTCGCTGTCTCTCGCCGCTCCGCAAGTGTCAGTTTGCCTCCGGCCTGTGTGCGCAGAGACGTCACTCCCCACTATTTCTCATTTTTCTTAAAAGGGCATAACACATGGGCCACCCGTCCTGCACATTTGCATGATAACGGGCTGCACAGTAATGATGAGTGTCAATAGAGATACACACACGCACACACACACACACACACACATAGACTGTTTTTATTCATTGTAGGTGATACATTTCAAATCAGCTGCACATTTCTTCCAGGACTTATATTTAAAGCTTAAGTCTAGTGACATTCCGTATGTCTCTTACTGTCGACAAATCCCATCAAAAGACTAAACCCACCAATGAATTAAACCTACAAACAAATATTCTCTATGTAGATAAAACCTCATATAGTATATAGATATGGCATATGAAAACACAAATGTGTAATTATCCATATGGCTGCAATAACAAATAGACTAATACATCTGCACTAAAGGTCAGATATGAAAAAGATACAAATTTGTAAAGAGGGCAGATATTATGACTTTTCCACCCTTTTTTCAATTTATCTTTCATACATGTGTAAGCTATACATATGTTTATATAGGTATGCCTGGAGAGGCGTTGAATTATTATTATTATCACCGTTACATCTTGCTGCCATACTCAAAACAGCACTAAATGTGTGTCAATCCTCAACTGAAAATAAAATTAAACAATTTTGATTGTTTTAAGTTCTTTTTACAGTCCAAAAAAAATCTCAAATGTGAATATTTGCTGGTCTTCTAAGTCTTCTGTGATAGCACACTGAATATTTTTGGGTTTTGGAGTGTGGGCTGGACAAAACAGGTAATTTAAATATCAAGATGGGATTGTCAATCGGGAAACTGTGACGTGTTCTTCTCATTTTTCTGACATTTTTAAGCTCAAACAATTATTTTCATTAATCAAGAAAACTATAGTCAGATTGATCAATAAAGTCTCTTAATGGTTAGTCTAGTTCTAGACCTAATAATCGGATATCCAAGGTGTGTGGCAAGCGTAAGATCTTCTGAAAATGTCTTTTTAGGTTAAAACTCAAGACTTGTTTTTTTCTTTTAATGCTCAAGTCCGTATGTAGCCAGGTTGGAAATGATCATTATTTAATTTCGTCTATAGAACTGCCATGAATGAACAATCCCTAACCCTGAACTGAAAATGTAGAAGTTGCATCATTGGCCCTTCCCCAGGCCCCTATTTATCCAGTGTCCTTCACCTGTACCTACACCAAGCTGGCGTCAAACAGATAACAGGTGTGTGACACATAGTTACAAGAATGTGAATGAAAACTGCTCCCTTATGTGTCCTAAAAGAGTCAGTTACACAGATTTGGGCAGGTAAGGAGAGCAGCACTGGACTGGATATCTTTGGGAGGAGCTCCCTCTAGCGGGGAATGAACAATCCTGCCCAGACACTGGGCAATAGTGGAGGAAGTACAGTAATAAAAAAAGAAAAACTAAACCCACTCTCATCCTTAATCTATATTTTTCACAATCCAGACCAGAACTAATAGGATAACTGTATTCATAAGGCTACAAGACAGATCTTACAACTCATTTTTTTATTGTACCATAATACAATCTGTCATACAGATTTAATACAGTATATGCGTCAATCCCTTGCTCGAGTTTCTCCATTTATTTGTACTGTCTTTGCCATCCTTTGTCATTAGCAGCCTTTTCCACACCTCTGTGTTGAATGCAAAAGCAATGTCTGATAGAATACAACAATCTGGCACAACTTTTTACAATCTAAAATAAATAAATCACTTTCAAACAAACTAATATTCCAGGAATAGCATTGTATTTGATAGATGTTTGCCTTCATAACTCTGAATAAAACCAAATAAAAAAGCCAGCCAAATGACAGTGGCCAGCACAAGCAGGTGACATATTTAAGGCAAATAAAGACTAACATGACTGAATACAAGCAGAAAGTTTTTACTGTATATACACATAAGTATTATACTTATATATAAGTATAATTTATTACGTTCCATGTGTGACATGTGTTTTTGCAAGATTCAACATTATCCAGAGCTGGTCTGTCCTGAATTCCCTTGTTGGGCTACATGCAGTATATATACTTTATATGAACAAAATAGAAAAACACGCCTCATCCCCACAAGCCCATGAACATCAAACAATAAATCCCACCACATCTCTGTATTTAACAAATGTTGGGTGAAACAGATGCACACGACAAGGCTGAGAATGGCAAAAGGCAGATCTGTACATGGCTCTTGAGAGTAGGAAAATGAAGTTGTATTTTGTCCTTCACTTCTGACACAGTCCATAAAATCGGGTGCAGTTTCTATTGTTTGATGTGTGGTATTCTACATCCCCATTTCTTCTTTGTAACTTCAGCAAGGAATTCAAAAAGGCCTAGCGGATAAAGACATGGGGAGTCCTCTCACTGATATTGTCTGTAGTCTCCAAAGGAAGGGGTGGGCATGGGAGCAGGGGCAGGTTCCTCTGCAAACTGAGGCCCTGGAGAGAGAAAAAAAAAAGGTAAACTTCAGAGTGCGATAACAGCCAATTAGAGGCCTAACAGCTGTTAATAAAGTGGCAATAACCTTAAATCTTCATTTACTCAATCAGTTAGTTCTATGACACAAACATCCAATATTGGAAGCACCACTCACCGGTTGGGAACTGTGAAGAGGCAAACCTAGTGAGCAAGATTCCAGCGCCCTCTATCAATGCCAGCAGAATACCTCCCATGGCTGCAGATCCTACCATGGCTACTGGTCCATCTACAGAGGAACAGGAGATAATGATGCATTAGTACAACTCATGTCCACAGCTCCCATAAATCTTCAGATTCAACTTGGAAGTTGAGATTTTACGTGAAAAGGTCCATCATTGTTCAATTTTCATTATTTTGTTTTTAAATAAAGGTAATAATAAAAAATAAAAATGCTGTTCTTCATGACATTTGCAGGTTAAGATATTTCAAAAACCATGCACGACCATAAAGGTGTTTTCCTTTATTCTGCTTAATTAAACCTCTGCTTAGGTTAAAGTTAAGTGGGGCTCTGCTAGAAATAAGACAAGGTGACTGAAGTCAGATATCAATCAAGCCTGATCTGTAAATGCCCTCACAGTCCTGGGAAGAGATTGAATCAGGCGAAAAACCGAAGTGGGTAGCAAAAGGTGAACGGAGTTAAAACTTAGTTTAAATGTGGACATATGAGATCACACACAGAGCACAGACACAATACTTGACAACACAAGTTCAGAACCACGTCTAGTTTTTTTGACCTAATTCCTGAATTTAGGATTGTAGTTTGCAAAACTAAGACATTGACCAGCTTTAAGGTTCCAATTTCTCCACTGGTATCAGACAGTTTTGGAAAGTCACAGTGATGAGCACACTGCCTCTCTGAGAAGGTGAGCTCATTGTATACCAATTACTGAGTTGCAGCTTCACTGTTTGCCATTTGTATGAGGCATCTATGTGCTTTCTGTTGACTTTCAACTGCCAGCTTCCTCTAAGCTTACTCACTTCTTGCAGCGAGGATAGCTCCTGTCATGGCCCCACTTGTTATTGAGTTCCAGGGATCTTCCTTCCCTCGCACTTTTACTAAACCACAGTCGATCATGGAGAAGAGGCCTCCCCATACTGCAAAGCTACCTGCAACACAAAAAACAAAAAAATGTTATGATATGCTTTGCGCTTTGTTAGGTTTTGTTGACACAAAGTGTATTCTTTTGGTATCAGATCCTCACCAACAGTTCTCAAAAATGAATGACAGACAACTAAGATTTGTATCTATTTTGGCAGTTAGAAAGGATTTTAATGGACCACAGAAAAAAATGCCCATACAGTTTATGTCTGAGTTTCAACAAGGGCTGCAAAAGCAGTATATTTAGCCATGTTCTGATGAAATGATGATTTGCAGTATACTTAGTATACAGATGGCATGGGAAAATGGATTATGCAGCAGTGGTCTGAGAAGTTTCTGAGGAGGATTTTTCCTGCCATGATCAACTTATAAACTGTTGGTTTCTTGCCTCAACTGTTTGATCTCTCCAGATATATCTTATTTTGTGTTGTGTTTTGTATGTCCTTATGTATACAATAAATAATTGATCCCAAAAAAAGACTTAACAACATTGGAATTGTAAGCACTATAAGCATCGTAAACAACACGAGTCAAAGCTGACTACAGCTCCAGTTCTTTGCAAAGGAGGGCAAAGTAACCTTTCCAGCCTAAAGAGAGTATTTGATACTAAAGATAAAATATTACTTAGAGGCAGATGATATTTAAATTTAGCATTTGTTCTTACCTCCAAGCTGTGGGGCTCTGGTCTTGATGGCAGTCAAGCTACCTCTCATTCTGTGGCTCATCCCCTACAAGAGAGCAACAAAGAACACAGATCAATGGAAATTCCATGTCTATTCAGGAAACATTTACCTAACATTTCTTATTGATGTGAAAATGCCAGAGTTCTTAATTATATTTATGTGAAACATGGCAAAATCAGGTAACCTTGAAGTTATGCACAAAATATGTAGAGGAGTGATCTATACAAGAAAAACATTGTTGTATTTGACTGAGGCAATACAGCAAGCTACATGACTGAACTTACTGAGGGTGCATTTCTAAAACCTTTTACTGCCTGGAATATTCCTCCTCCAATTGCTCCCATGGTGAAAGCTCCCCCACAATCGTCCACAATCCTCCAGGGGCTAAAAGAATAACACAGCCATTAACCAACCAGTTAACCAGTTCACTGTCATATAATATTCATACAAAAACAGTTACTGAAGTTGTCATATTTTGTCTGATATTTACTTTGTCTCCCATATCACAACTATAAAAACAGTTGTGATATGACAAAGTATGATAAACAACCTGTTCTGGTGTCACCGACAGCAACATCGTCACTGATACGTATACTACATGATACGAGAACATAGCTATAAACATGTCACTACATTCCCAGTTCAAAAAAATACAGCATGTTAAATCGACATAGACACGTGTAATTTTGAATTCTCAATAGGTGGGATTTCTCCAACTGTTGTGCAATGTTCATGCTGCCCCAACAGATAGCTCTCAGGTCGCTAACTTAACTAGCTTACATATGCTAAGGCAATATCCTTATCTCACTTCTTTTAAAACAGCTAAAATTATTACTGAGGTGCTTCACATTCACCGTAGGTCCCCTATCACATTGTACAGAAATTATTTCTCGAAATGTAATGACATATGAGTTAGTGAACTGAAACACCGACAAGGTCACTAACAACGTGATTTAGCAACTGCGGTCTCAAGAACGTACATACTGCTAGTGCAGATCTAGGTAAAATTAGCATTCCTGCTAACGTCAGCTAACTAGCCGGATAGGAAGTGTTTTGAGTAAACCACATTTTGTACCATAAAAATAATTATACACACTTAACATGGTAGTCACTTCAAACAAAAGAATGGACAGGACCTCGCAAAATGCGACCGAAAGGTAATGTTTTTTCTGTTTTAAGGACTCACCATGGTTCTCTAGCATATTCCTCCATTTTGTTCTTTTGCTGTTCCCTCTGACGTAACGCTTATCGATAACCTGACGTAACGACGTCACGTGCTGTGTTAAAGGAATATGAATATGGTTATATATATACTTTTTTATTGTCAACAAATCACGTAAAAAGCCTAAAACCAACAATGAACTGATCCTACAGACAAGTATTATACGTGTAGCTAAAATCAAAATTAGTTAAGAGAAACACTTTGGTGATTGTGTGTTTTATTGAGCGCAGCTCACTCTCAGCAAAGGTATCAACACCGTGCTGGGCAGGTGACAGGTCTGTACAGTGTTTGTGTGCTCTAAAACATCGCAGATTGCAAAATCAGATTGAAACAACATTTAAATGATGTCAGGCAGTAATATTGAATCTAAGTTGATGCCTGACATTGAAACCAAATTGAAAGCGCTCGTTATGTTTTACGTTGAATCAACGTCAGATTTTCAATCATGACTGACACCGAATCAACATTTATTCACCTATTATCTGAGAGGGGCCTATGATTGAATTTGAAACATTGAAATAACGTTAGAATAACTACTGGAAACCAGACCTTTCAAAATAAATGTCTTTATTTATACATTTTGTGACATGGGGTAATATTGTTCTCATCATGCGAATAAAAAAACAAACCTTTTTACTTTCATTTGGAAAAATTAAACTCAAACATATCCAAAAAGGACAGCACGAATCAATGTAACTTTTTGATCCAAAAACTTTTTCCTAAAGTTAGTGCCAAGAACTTCCAAGCTCCTGCCAACACCTGCCAGAGCAGGACAAATGGTGAGTTGTCTACCCTCCCAGATACCTGGAGAGGCAGCCCAGGGGACAGTTCAAGGCAGCGAAGAGGAAGAACATTTCCAGTCCTGGGAAGAAGAGTCTCCAGAGGTAAGATTCACTTCAAATATCACAATTTCCTCTAATGAATATCAGATCTATCTTAACTCACACTGCTCACTGATGATTATCTTTCAACTGTCTTCTTGGACTGAACTTGGCCCTGTAAACCGGCCCAGTGTGAGCCACCTGGTGGAGGCCATTTGCAGCGGGCTCTGCCGTCTTCACCCAGTGGCCACAAGGCCCAGAGGGACTATAAAGACTTGGTGGTTCCTCATCCTCAAAAACTACGTGGCCATTAGAGAGACAGTGCTGGCCAGCCTGAGGTTGAAGGCTCAGACCAACATCCAGCTGTATGAGCTGCTTTGGTTTCTGCAGAGCAAGGCTGGATTACCAAAAGGGCAACATGGGCAACTTCAACAGAACATTCAGATCCACAGAGGCTACAAAAGACCCAGGTTCTTTGTGTGACAATTAATTGTGAATTTGTTTGTGCATATGCACCATTAAAGCACAATGTAAAGTCACATAGTCAGGGTTTAAAGGCCAGTCCTACTTTATTGCCTGATCTTGTGTGTCAATATCTAGATTCAAGACCTCATTATTTTACCTTTTACTCTGCTTACATGTTGAATATTCCTAAAATAATTTGTTTAAAATCAGATTACAGTGTTTACAGATTGCCAGTATACTGCATACCTGCTGTAAACACCAAACAAGAAATTTCCTACATTATAATGTCGACTGAGTTATTTTCTGAACACAAGTGATGACCATGTTCTTCTCCCACCCCCTTTTCACTGACCAACCAGTTATCTCAACATTTTCATTCCTTCTCCTCTTTTTCCTCCATCTGAGATCAGTGCTGTTGGTCAGGGGAGCAGCTACAGCCGAGAAACGGACCACTGGCCTGCTGCCCATTATTAGGAACGAGAAAGGAATGACTTGCAGAGCAAGCCTTCATTGAAAAATGACCAAATATAGGCATTTGAGGCTGAGGCAGAGCGATAGACATAAACTGGCCTGTAGCTGCTGCTGTTGCTGTTCTCCTCTTTTCCTCTGAACACCCAGGATGATGGCTGCCTCACCAGCTGGTGAATAGACACTAGACAACTCCCACTGTTTCCCTGCAGCTTCAAGCATGTTATGGAAACAGCAACAGATTCTCTAAACATTTTTATTGGTGGTTGCTGAGATACTGACATGTAAATATGTTTATAATGATGGAGAAGTTCATAAAATTAACTTACGTAACTCAGTTGTCAGAATTCACATGCAGTAATTACAGGAGCGCAAGCCCTTTAAATCCAGTTAGAGACATGGTTTATGCTGCAGGTCGGTTGATAGCTATGTGTCCATATCTATACATGGTTTTGTATATCTTGTGTATATCCTCTCCTAGCAACACCTAGATCTGAGACTGAATGTACATAGTGTACATATGGAAATACAGTATGCAACTTCATGTAGACCACAAACCAATTTAAATGAAGGAGAGCTCAACAGATGTTAATACATACATACCTTGATTTATGATAATGAAAAATATTGCAAAAGTCAATTAATTTCATTTTGCATATACTGAACATATTCCTCTTAATGATATCAGCCAGGCATAACATTACACTTGTGATTTGTCATTGCAGATGTACCAGAATCTTTTATTGAAGACATACAGGCTCTGTAAGAAAGGCATGTGTAATCAAATATGGCAGAGAATCCTTCATTACACAGGACACATACAGTATTAGTGCCACTCTGATTTTTGTTTATCACATTAACTTCCTTTAGAAATGACATTCACTTAAAAGTACGACGTAAATCAACAGGAGTGTTGATATAAGCCAGTAATGGTTTACCAAATCCCAGAAGGTTAATACATGTAGATGTATTACATAAAAGGTATGTAAGGTATTCAAACACCCAGGCTAGAATGATTCTGTACAAAATATAACATCAGATACTGAAGGACAGCCATTTGCACTTCCTGATAAAAATACATTATGTAATTATTTCCATGCTTAAACTCTTTCGTCATGCACCAGGATTCCACTGGGCTGCTTTCCAATCCGTTAAAACCCTGCCTGAGATGTCTTGAGATTTGGCAATGAGACACACAATCAAGGACCACCTTGACCTTTTTTTTCTTAACCAGGTTTTCTTAAGTCAGGCCGCCATGTTTGTTAATTCCCTGATATTTCCGCCATTTCAGAATTCCCAGTTTGAACAGATTTACAAGTGACAAGTATAAGGTGGCTTCCCTCTCCACAAATAAATAAATGGTCAAATTAATGTCCACTATATCATTGATAAACTTTTGTATATTAGAATTTTATAGAGTTATTTGAATCTCTTATTAAGCTCAACGCACACTCCCACCACACTCACATTCAGATGCATACACAAGCCAACATGTTATATGATGGGCTTTATATAATCTAGTGCAAATAACCAGCAAAGCGTCAATATGAACTAAGGAGAAACAACCACAAACTCATGGCACTCTCTGCAGTCGGCTAATAGAGAGCCCTGCATCACTCATTCTCCACAGAGTCCTTTTGGTCCAGTGTTTTGAGGGGAGAACTCATAGTCAGGGCTTTTCATCCAACCGATGGGCATCTCATGTTTCACTTCCTCCATCTGTCCCACAGCACAGCTCTTCAACTGCAGCCGGGGTGAATATAGAGTTCATCTCCTTGAAAGACTCCTTGATGTCAGTTCTTCCTCTCTCTTCTTTCTCACTTTATATTCCAACAGGAAATGTTACTGCAACCACTTTGGCACCGGTACCTGTGGGGAAATATAAAATGTAAGTAAGTCTGGATGTACTGTGGCTGAGCTACCCTTTCCATGAACCCACCATACGCACCTTCTTCAGCTGTTTGATATTGCTCCCTCTGATCGAGGCAAGCAGTTGGTCCCTTGAGTTCTTACTACCACCTGGAGTCAGAGAGTTCCTCATGTTGTTTACCTCCAGCATAGGAGGCGGAGGAGCTGGAGGTCCACCCCCAGGTGGAGGTGGAGGTGGTGGTGGACCTCCAGCTCCTCTTTTAGGTGTCAGCTTTGGTGAAGGCATAGGTGAGGGTATGGGAGAAGGTTTGGGGGAAGCTTTGGGTGAGCTTCTCCGATATCCTCCACCTCCAGTCTTGGGCACCTCCAATGTCCCCTTCTTCTCCCCGTTGGCCTGGGCCTGCTTCTGCTCCTGCAGGCGCTTCTGTCTCTGCCGATCCATGTTGCGACTCAGTATGTTCGTCGTGGTCATTCTGGGCCCAGCTAACTCGAAGTGGTAGCCCAGTTTGAGCAGGGTGGTGTTTTCTTTCAGAATTTTGGTCATTTCCATCTCAGTCTTCCCACCACAGACGTGGCGCTGGTTTTGAAAGTGAAGCTCAGTCAGTGTGGAGTTGTGTTGCAGCGCCTGGATAAGAGACAGGATGCCCTTGCCCGTGAGATGGTTGGAGTCAACGTTGATGCTGGTGATAGTCTTGTTGCTGCGTATTGTACCAGCGATGGCGTAAGCCACATGGTCATCTGCCCGGCAGTTAGCCAAAGCAAATGTTTTAATGTGGGTGTTACGCTGCAAAGCCTCTGCAAACTCGATAAGTGTTTTTGTCTTGATCACCTCTGAGTTGTTGACATTGAGCTCAGTGAGGGAGGGATTGTTGCTTCGAACCAACTCCATCAGCTCATCAAACATGCTTGACTCTTCATCCCCCTCTTCCTCCTTCGCCTTGCTGTTCGGGGTGGTTTTGGCAACACAGTTGCCAAGTTTCTCACTTTCCTCAGCTTTTTTAACTTTTACTTTACTGAAATCTTTTTCCTTTTTCTCCTCTGTTTTCTTCTCTGTGCTAATCACCTTCTCCTTTTCTTTCACGTGGTCGCTGTGGTTGACCAGCTCTTCTCTATCTGTTCTTTTTTCTGCCTTGTCATGTTTCACCTGAACCTCACCCTTTTCAGACGGCTGTCGCGCAAGTTTGACATCAGGTTTGTTTTTATCTTCAGCTTTTTTCTCCTCTGCTTTTGGCTTCTTTTCTTCTGATTTACTCTCCTGGCTTTCTTGCACCTTGCTCTGCTTCTCCAACATTTTAGAGACAAGCCCTTGGGTCCTGAAACCCTCTGATTTTCTCTCTCTCTCCTTTTCTTTGCCCACTTCCTTTTCACTTTTTTCTCGTAGCTTTGAGATAATGTCTTTGGTTTTGCTGTCATCTCTTCTCCTGCAGTCTTCTTTCTTTTCCTTCTCTTTGCTGTCTTCCTTCTTATCCTGTAACTTGGAGATCATATCCTTTGTTTTGCTCCCTGTGCTCTCTCTGTTTTCTCTTCTGTCTCTTAGCCTGTTGTCTTCACATTTCTCTTTCTCACTAGCCTCTTTCGCCTCACTGTCTTTGCTCTCCTGCTTCCTGTACCTACTGGAAAGCCTACTTCGCTCCTCTTTTGTACTTTCAGGAACTTTTCTGTTTCTGTCTTCCACCTTGGCATCTCTTTCGCTTGCGACACTAGCTTGTCTTCGTAACCCTACTTTGTTGTCGTCGTTCCCCTCCTGGCTCAGGCCCATCTTCCTCAGGTATTCCTGCTTCCGGCTCTCCTTCTTCAGCTCAGCCTGCAGGAGTGCAAATATTAGGAGTGCGATGTGAGAGAGGATTTTAAATTGAGTTAGACAGTAAAGCAATTAAATGTATGTCAACACCAAAAACAAACAATTATAGGATTATTCCAAACCAACTTGCTTGTGCAGGAGTGTGTCAAAGGATGTAGTGCCCTACACCAAATTAAATCATATCAAATACAAAACTAGACTGTCTTTTTACAAAATTGAAAGACACCTTCAAAATCTGATAATTCAAATAATTTATTCGTTTTACAGTACAGAGCTTGTTGATAGACAGTAGATACTGCATAGCATGTATAGTATGACATAACACCTAACCATGCAAATACTTGTGTAAATACTGTATTTCTTTACTGTAAAACACTCCTCCAGCCATCTGCTCATGTAAACACTCACATTCTCCCTGGCACAATATGGCATGTGTGTTTACAGTCAGCAAAAGGACAAGGAACCATTTTTATAGTGCAGGGATACATTTGCAGCGAGTAGCTTGCTAAGTGTTTGATTTGTGAGTCTCCATCTGTTTTGCTGTGCGAGGCCGCAGCCCTGGCAGATGTATCCTTAAAAGGCAGTGAGTGTAGGAGCAATCAACCAAGGAATTCCATCAGGCCGGGATTAAGAAGCTCCGCAGGGCCGCCGCTCCATCGACTGAAGTGCCTCTCCTTTAAACACAGAAACTGCTAGAAGTCTGGCTTTGTGACACTCAACTGGGGAGGGCTCTTTGTGTTAAAAAAAAAAAAAACCTTTTATAGCTTGACATGGGAATAATAGAGATGGTTTCATGTGTTTTCTGAGGCTGTTTCTCTGCTTGTGAGGAGAGCATTAATAATGTGAAATGGATGTAAGCATGCCTCAGAGGGGAAAACAATATTTTTCCTGGCACAGAAGCCAACTCTGGGGACCACTATTTATGAGCTGATGGACTGGACTCAGGGTGCATGAGGTCCACTTGGTGATTTGCTTCAAGCTAAATGAAAAATAGCACATGAAAGCTATCATTAGAATACCTTGGGACACTGGATGTTATGTAATACGGTAATCCATCAGTCATACATTGTTGTTGGATTTTATAAAGCCTTCTAACCTCCCCCATATTCAGGTTATTTCTACTGAAAACTACAGGAAGGAGCTCAAATATAAACACCTGAAGAATGTAGTATATATTCATAGAAATCATTAAATTCACAAATCACTTATGGGTGTTTCTTTCATGTAAAACCCAAAACAAATTGCCACTAAAGCAGATAAGGAATCAATTTAAGCATCCACAAACCTCAAGAGACAGTTCCTTCTGACTGAGCCTCCCTTTAGTGTCACTGTCCCGTTTGCTGTCCAGTTTAGCGTCCCGGACTTTGTTGCTCGTAGGTGGCTGCGCAGCTTGGCTCTCCGCTTGGACGATGATCTTGCCATCCTCTGGTTTGATGTCAGGCACTTTCATCATGGTCTTCTCCAGCTCCTCCACTTCCTCAGGGGAGAGGGTGGACAGCAGGTTGTCCAGGTCTGGGTCCTCGCTGACCTGGCGGCCCGTACGGGTCAGGCCTCTCACCTTTCTCCTGGACATGGTTGCCTACAAAAAAATCAGGGGTAAAGGCTACACCCGTGGAGGAGAACAGAGAAATTTGGTTTCTTTGGAGGTGCTGATGGTGTTAGTACAGTAAATCCCTTTATTTAAAATCAGATTGTCGTGTAATTTCTCTCCTATGGAGAGAAGTCACATATTCTCATAGGCCAAAGCTGATGTCCTGCTGTCCTGCTGCGTCCCGCTCACCAAAAAGCCACCAGAGGCATCAATCCTGGTGCAAAGAGGCTAGACTCAGTGTTGCACTGAGGGGTACCAGTGACGAACTGCAAGAGGCTCGCATCATCAAAGTGGACTGTGAGGCTGGACATTCTTCGAAATCCTGTGAAAGTGCATGTCCATATTTAGTTCAGAGTACACACTCCTTTAAAGGTAATGGGAAGGGCTGAAGTTTACATAGATGCCAGAGCAGAGTAACAGAGACTTTCTATTACACAGTTCATGTTTATATTGAGACCAGTTCCTGATTATTTCCCTAGTAATAATAAATTTGAACAGCTATGAATGTCACATTAGTTATTCTGCCATAATGAGAAGCATCCCTGTTTCTTTTAGGAACTTTTCCTAATTCGTTGTTTCGTGATAAAAAAACAAAACAAAACAACACGATCCTAAATCTTTGGAAAAACAGTTCCAGGTAAAAATATAATTTTGTTTTTGCTCTAGTTCTATAAAACACCAGAAAGCCCGTGATTTAGGGGGATGAATTATGTGTTAGATTCACATGCTACGTTCAATATGTGGAGTAAAATGAAATGGAAATATCCCACTGTTTTTATTAAATTACAGGCTCTAGAATTTGGAGGCTGTGCAGGACAAACCACATATCAGGTCAAAAAAACAATTACTACCTGAGTATCCAATTATCCAGTTGTTTAAAATGAGAGTCAGTATGAGAGGAATGAGTGGGTTATGCATGTTTAAGAAAAACAAATGGTTAATTAGGTGAATTTATGGAACAGCTGTAGTAGTGAAAATGTGTAGCGCACTTTGTAAGTTTAGAAAATAATTCAATTGTTTGTCAGAATAAAGTAAATTGAAAGTTTCAATCTAAATTAATAATAAATACATTCTGATTGAGATCGAGTAATATAAATATATGTAATATAACTTAAAATGCTAAATCTATGTGTCACAGCTGTAAGTCAAACTATACAATTACATTTTGTGCACACTTGAATACAAATATGCAAATGACAAATTATGTTAATAACAATCAGTGTTTTTCGGGGCACACTTTTCTTTTGTATATGAATGGATGTTTCAGATCTTGCTTGTGATGAAATGACTGAAATAAATCAAATCTGCCAAACATCTGAAGACATATAACATCAATTGGAAGTTAATATGGACATCTAGTGGTCAAAATGATGTAAACACACACTATTCCCCTATTTAAATGTTATATAATAATATATCTTGGAAACGAATTCCTGTAAAGATATAATAAAGGACACAGCAGACTGTTGCATTTACATTCCAAAGTTAAATTTTATGTTAATAGAAATAAAAACTTTTCACTGACTTTATATTACAATGTCATACCATCCATATGACGACAGACAAAAAGCCATATCTAGACAAGTTACTTTGCCAACTGATGTCAGTTTCATTAAACACACTCATGGAGTTGGTTTAGAAGCACAAATAAACAAAAACATCATTGAGCAAATGTTAGGTCAAACTACATGTAAAGCATCTTACAAAGAGAACTCCAGTGTTTTCTTTGTGCTTTACAGAGGCTCAACAGATCTGTACACATGGACGTCGCCACCGAATTTATGCTGTAAACTAGCGGGAATAACTGTTGTCTGATTCATTGCATGGTTTAGAGGTGAAACAAGTCTCAAGGAAAAGTTTGAGAAAGCCCAGGCTTCTCTAATCAGCATGATATAACAGTGTTTTGTTTTTTTTTAAATATGTGCCTCATTTGGCTTTCAGGTTGAGATACTTTACACCTAAATAAAGATAATCCAGGCATCACGTATTAGTAGTCAGTTAAATATACAACACATGCTAGAGACGTTGTGTTTTACAGTTCATACATCTTACAAGAGCACAGGGCTGTTTTCGTCTGCACCAAAATGCTAAACCAGACCCAATTACAGATAAATTAATTTCACAGGTTCCAGGCCCTGACCTCACTGGAGCCCAAATCTGTAAGAGAATATTTGAAAGAATAGTTTTGACATTTTGGGAAATGCACCTATCTGCTTTCTCACGCCCGAACCATAAAGCTGGGTTTTATCACAAAATTTGGTTTTGATCTGATGCCAAGTTAAAACCAGGGCCGATACTTTTTTTTATTGTTAAAAGCAGCTAATGTACTATCATGTACAGGAGAGAAATATGTCACGATTTATGAGGTGAATATATAGACTACTTCTGAATATATTTTGATTACCACCAAATACATTTGTTAAACACGAGGCATTTCCTTTTACTATTCTCATGTAATTACTTAATCAAATGTGTTATTTAACAGAACACATTTTTTTAAATGGTAAATAAATCTATTATGTGAATTCTCTGAACTACAGATCTTAGAATGAAACTGGAAACAGATGGCTCTTTCTGAGGGTAACAAAATCCACCTCTTAGTACCCCCAACCCCAATGTAAAGTACATAAATGACAGTTACGCATATTATATAGCTTTATGTGCTGGACTATTTTTTGACTGGGAAATAAACCATTGCCTTGCAGCCGGTGCATTCAGGTTATATTGTTTAAACCGTAATTATAAGCAGCTGGGTCAGAAAAAACAGTAATGTTAGTCCCCAACCTTTAATTTCATGTTGGAATAATTGGGAAATTCTGATAGCAATGAAATCTTGGTGAATTTTGGCAAGTCTGAAGAATGGGTGTTTTTCCCCATTCTTTCCATTCTGCCATGTTGCAGAATGGGAAGAATGGTACTTAAGTACAGTTTTGATGTACTTGTACTTTACTCAACTGTATCCATTTTACTTCAGGGGAAATACTGTACTTTCAGCACTATATGACGCTATACTTATTTGATAGCTCTAGCTCCTGCTTTGCATATTCACATTAATACAAAACATAATCAACAAGTAAACCATGCTGTATTATAAATTAAGCTACCCAGCAGCACATACAATAGTTACAATTACAGGTTTGCTGCCAATACATTTGTACTTCTACTCAAGTAAAATTTTGAATGTAGGACTTTTGTAACTGAGTATTTCTACATTGTGGTATTGCTACTTTTACCTACGTAAAATATCAGTCGTCTCATCTAACTCCGAGCAAGAGAGAAAATAAGCATATCACCCAAAATGTCAAACCTTTAAAGAGAGGTTGTTAACAAAATCTGCTTTTTCAACAGTAGTGATTTTTGGCTTTGTAGCTTAGTCCAGAAGGTGAGAACCCATTCACAGTAAAAGGTAACCTCAATGATAATAAATACCAAATGGAAAGATGCCAAAATGCCAAAAACATCATATCTTATGTTACAATAACAATACATTGTTTTAAAATAACTTGTTACATTATCATAAAATATTCAGCTGAAGAACAGATTTACAAAATATGTATTTAAATAGTTAATCTCTTGTTTTTTCTTTCATGGTTAATTATTGTAAGGCAGGACATTTTGCTTTATCAAGCAGCATGACCTGCAGCTCCACTGACCTGATATGTTAGAAGAAAATAAACAAGAATTGCCACAAAACATCCTACCTGGCATTATGGGATTAATCTTAAAACTCATTTCTAATTCATTCAAAATGAGAAAAGAAGCGGGAGGGGACAGGTAACTTTGACTGGGTAGCATGCTGATGTTGAGATGTTACATTAGAACAATGCAGCTAATATATTACCATGACGTAATTAGTCAAGAAGAGACAAAGTTGAAACTAACAGGTGACTAAAAGCGTCTTACACAGGATTAGGAGTACCATGAAATCCATTAGGTCATCCGAGCAAACTTAAGGCAGTATCAGTATCTGCCTTTAACCCAAACATGTCACCTGTTTAATCAATCATGCGTCCCATATTTCCAATTTGTTTTTCACATTCGCCTCTACCACATTACAAAACAGATACAGATATAAAGACATCATGTAATCATATTTGGAGAATGTGGATCAGATGACCTGGAATGTCGTCTTAGGCAGTTTATCAATCCGTTAAAATTTAACATTTAACAGCAATTTTCCCCTTTAACGTATAAAAAGGGAGTGCATTATCTTTGTTGTAAATCCCTTTTTTAACCCTCTTCTGGAATGTAATGAGCCCTGCCTTTATGTAACACCCTGCCACTGAGGTGAGCGTGTCAGAGAGCAGAGGTGGCAGCACACAGTTGAGACGCCAGCCGGACACCTCCTCACTTTCGGGGGAATGGCGTGACGCCCTCTGTGAAACTGGCCCAGAGCAATCAGGCGTCAGGTTGCAGAACAGAATTTGATTAACGTAAATACTACGTAAAGTAGGACAACGTTGTAAATAAACAATGGAGAAAAAAAAAAAAAAAACCCTTAAAGTGGCTCCTTCTACTTCACAGGCAAACCACTGCTAGTCGAGCTGTAGTGTTTATTTGAGTGTGTTTGTGTTTGAGTGTGCGAGAGTGTTGCTGCCTTCTTCTTTCGAAACAGTCATGTCTCTCAGCTGTTGTTGTCTCCCCGCTGTGTGTGTGTGTGTGTGTGTGTGTGTGTGTGTGTGTGTGTGTGTGTGTGTGTGTATGTAGACGAGCCCATCAATGACCAGGATACTGAGGTGGAGAGTAAGGTGGAGGGGCTGAAACAAGAAAAAAAAAACAAAACAAAACAAAGTCAGGTCTTCATAGAATCACCCGCAAAAGTAATTTCTTTAAGGCAACTTCTAACCATGGTACAATTTTCTGGTACAATGGTTCTGCTACAATTTTCTGTCCAGATTAAAAATCAAAATACTGTTGAATTTTTTTATCTTTATTTTTTCTTTGAAGGTTCAGGGAGGTCAGCAAAACAGCAAATGATAAATGATGGCCAACAAAATGTGGACATCATATCATGGTCAGGAGGCTTTATAACCTTCTCTATCTCCTCTCTGAAGAAATTATGCTAATCTTACCCTGGCTGTACGCAGGATCCATCGGGTGTGGTGGATACGGTCCAGGCTGCATCACTGGATACTGGGGGGGCATGCCAGGGTACTGGGGTGCCATTGGATAACCTGCATGCGGATACTCAGAGGGGCCCAGTGGTTTTCCATAAGCATCGTACATGGGCTCCAGTGGGTAGCTGGCCATTGGGATCTGCTGGGCTATGGGTTTGAAAACATACAGACTACGGTGAAGAAAAACCATGAACTTAACATTGCCTGATAAAAGCATGGACACGAAGGGTGGACTTGAAACTAGGGTCTACGGACAGAGGGCGTATCTCAAAATCACAAATCTGCCTCAAGCGGCTTAACAATGTACAACATTATAAGTGAAATTTCACTCCACTTGACTTTGACACAAAGTGTCTTACCATCATAAGGTGTCCTGCCTCGCTGCTGCCTTCTCTGGTAGAGGTAACAGCATGAGCACATGAAGCAGCACACCATGGTGGCAATGATGGCCACAAACAGCAGGATGGAGGAGGCAATGCCAGCTAAAGTGGTGGGGCTGAGAAGAGAGGAAGAAGAGAGTAAAGCACTTACTTTTATCATCTAGGCTCACGTTGTTCCTCCCCATCTATCTTGATAATTACAGCTCACTTTAGAGAGGATTAAAGTAGCGGTGGCTGCGATGTGATTCAGACACACTGGAATCATATCTCAGTTAATGACGTACACCCTTCATCTCTTTGTTTCTCTACCAGATTCCATCACCTCGTGGTGAAGCAACAAAGCCCCCCATTTCATCACAGCCTCTGCCACCCACTGATCTGATCTCCCACTGGGCTTAATAAGCTGCAAGTTGCCTGCCCGCTACTGGATAGTGATGGATGGTTTCCAGTGCGGTAGGAGGAAAACTGCCATGTTGCAGCCTCTCAGGTACAAGCTTGCTTAGTCCAGCATTAACATGATCCCTCGCGGGGGGCATTAAACACCACTGAACGCACAGGTAGCTGATGTGATTGAAAGACTAATGAGAAGATATTTCACCTCGGGGACCAAAGCAGGGTCATTTAGTTAAATGCAGCCAATGGGACATAAGGAACAGGCCAGTTTCAGAGTCTACACGTCAGACTTTTAGTAGAAATAGCTGGAAAAATGCATGGTGATGGTGGACAATATTTTCTACATATATTCTATATTCTAGTCTATTTTTCTCCCAACTTAAGTCTCCACGCACACATATTATCATTACCCTACATGAATTAATATAACCGTTTCATGTTCACATATACAGTTTTTTGTATTTAATAATTCATTGCAACTTCCTTCTCCTTACTTACTTTGTGATTATGTTTCAGTACACTTTATATTACTATCTACTGTATGTATGGTGCATACAGTGGCTTTGGAAAATCTTTCCTTCTTGCACACTTTATTGAGTTGTAGATCATCAATCCACACTCGATAACTCATAATGAAAAAGTAAAAACATGTTTTGGGAAATCTTTTGCAAATTTATTAACAATGAAAAACTGAAATCTCTATTCAAACCCCTTGCTGTGGCACAAATTGATGTCAGGTGCATCCTGTTTGCTTTATTGTGTCTATTTCTGATTGGAGTTGACCTCAATGAGAGGGAACAAAGTTGTAACTATTTTCAGGCCTTACTACCCACTATGTAAGACTGCACAGCATATGATGTTTACTGTTCTTTTTATCTTCTCTGTATGTTTGTTCTATGGGCCAGAGGTGGCTTTAATGAATCATTATTTTCAGTATACTGTATACTTTGTGAGCATGGATATATGTTCATATGTATCTTATCTTGCAGGGCAGAGACTGTGGCAACAAATATCCTCCTGAAGAACAACAATGTATCTGTCTGCTTTCAAGAAACGAAGGACACATGATCCTGCACTGATAGCCTTGATTTGTGAACACAAACACTGACTCTTGGTGTCGAGTAAATTTATAAATATGTCATTAAATGAAAACCCAGCTGCTGCTGCTGCTGCTGCTGACCCCACCTGAACTGGAAGAGCATGCATCGTTTCTGCTCCCTCTCTGTGATCATCTTGAAGGCGTCCAGGCAGCAGTAGCGCCGGTGGCAGTTCCCACAGCAGAACGTGATGAGAGGGCAGTCGAAGCCATTGTGCCAGGTGCCGTTTTTATCCACATACCACAAACAGTCCTCGTTCCCACTGACTGCAAAGCAAGAGCAACAAGGGGGTGATGATCAGAAAGCGTAAAGAAAAGAAGGAAGCAGAGAGAAAGAATGGTCCTTACTTCCTATCTCTCAGTTGGAGCGACATGCTGTTGTTTCTGTTTTATCACCCGGTTTTAAAGTGAGAAAACTCCTGAATGTTCACTTACAGATCCGGCTTTGTCCTGCCTTCAGGAGAAAATAAATATTTATTTCAAACTTGTACTGGTTCTTCTTGCTCTGCGTCTTTCTTATTCCAGGCCAAACACAGTCATAATGCATTATTCAACGCTTCCCTGTGGCAGAGGTTGAAAACTGATCAGAGCTCAAGTAAGGTAACCAGAAGATTTAAGATTTGTTTGTCTGAAACAGTAGAGGAGACGATTTATTAATCATAGGACTGCAAGTAACAATTATTTTCATTATTATTTTAACTTTTTATTAAATCCATTAATCATTTGGCCTATAAAACATCAGAAAATAGTAAGAAGGTTTAGAGTTTCCCACAACCTAAAATGACATCAATAACTCTTGTTTTGTCCAACCAACAGTCCAGAACTCCAACATATTCAATTTACTATGATTTGAAACAAGGAAACAAAGCAAATTCTCACATTAAAGAACCTGGAACCATCATATGTTTGGCATTTTTGCTTGGATTTAGCTTGAAATATTTTTTGTCACTGTAAAGAAAATTGAATCAACTCCTGCACACACGACCAACCATTTTCAAAAGCCAAGTAGTGGAGGAATAACACTCAAATCTCAGTTCACATATACCAACGGAGAGACATATACTATCTTGCATAAGAATAAACACATAAGCCCATGATTGAATTGAAAAGGTTATGTATGATTAAGTTTTCCACAATGTATAATTTAAGGCAACACGAAATTACACCTTGGTCACAACAGCCACGCGTGCAAGCTGCTAAAAGTCACACCCGCCTTGTACATTCAACATGGGTTTTCTGAAGCCTGACACATATCATAAAGTATCTTGGACCATAAAATCTGAGTAAAACCCTTTTGTAAGTAAAACAACACATTTAATCTAGTCTTCCTTATTGAAGAAAGTATTTACGTTTTTCAACTAAATAATGGAAACTACATTAGAGGATGCGTGCAGTAGAGTGTTAAGCCAAAATTGATATAAACTTAAAGCCAATTTTGGACAAGGACTTTGAAATGCTGGAATCAAGAAAAATTATATTGACAAGTGTTTCTATTATTCTGTCCACTCCATTCTTATCAGTGAGGGTACTAAATAATAGAAACACCTCTCTGCATAACATAATACAGCTGTACCACAAGCTGCATTAGTTTTAGCTAGGTGTACTGAATAAACTGGCAACTTTGCGCACAATATAAAATTAGATTTAAACTAGTGTTGCGATATTATTTTATTACTGTTGGTTGGACAAAGACAATGACATCTGAAGATATCATCTTGAGTTCTGAGAAACTAGAATGGATATTTTGCATTTATATACTAAATGATTAATCAATTAATCGAGAACATTATCGTCAGATTAATGAAGCCGCCCTAGTTATTATGGGCTTGTCAGTCACATGTCACACTCTGAACTGCCCCCCCCCCCCCCCCCCCCCCCTTTGTACAAAAGGTGCTATACAAATTATTTTTGACAGTGATATATAAGGCAAGAATTATTAAACCTGAGCTATTGAGCAAACATAGCCTAATGTGTTGGAAAAGAAAGGAACCTTTGCATTCCTTAAAGACAAATAAAAAATAGTACTTATTAGTGATTGAATGATTATTTTCATTAATGATTATTCTGATTTTTTTTCTCAAATCATTTTTTTGTCAGCTACAGTAAAATTCTCATTATAATGTACCAGATTCCCCAAAGCTTTGTCCAACCAACAGTCCAAAACACAAAGATATTCACATTGCTATATGACAAAGAAATGCACAAGATCTTAACATTTGAGAAATAGGCAGGAAATATTTGCCGGTTTTGCAAAAACTTGGCATTGTTTCTCAGAACAATGACTGTAATGATCATTCTTCTATCAAAGTTATTGCCGATTCTTGTTTTTGTGATTGACCACTTGATTAATCGACTATTTTTTGCAGCTCTAGCATAGTATCTTTAACAGAAAAGCTACCTTAACGCTAAATATTTGTGAAGAAAAAAAAGTGAAAAAAACAGCAAATAATTTAACTTAACAAATACACAAAAACCAGTAAGACTATATCACGGAAGACTGAACCAGTGGGTGCTAAACGTGGTCGGGCACTGAGCAGTTTGTTACAGTTGCCCAGGCCTTAAATAAACATCGAGGTTCACAAGTAAACAGCCAGAAAGCAGCACGAGATCATGTTGGCTGCTGCGAGCCTGTAGGATGATACAGGGTCCAGCAGCGACTGCTCGTTCACGGCTGAGAGAACTACAACAACGGCCGTGCAGACAGAAGAAAAACGTTAGCAGGAATCTACCGTTAAACCATCCGCCGTCGGCTAGCGGCGCGGCCTGGATGAAGAGCCGCAATCTTACCCTGAGAAGTGCTGAGGACGATGGCGAGCAGCGCCAAAGTCACCGAGATGAGGGACATGTTGCCCGTTGGAAAGACCATCCCCATCCTGAATATAAACCCAGCGATAACAAATTAAAGAGCAGTTTTTCTCATCGGTGTAAACGAACGAGAGTATTCAGGCTAACGGTCGTTCTCAGTCATTATCCTGGCACTGGAACAGCACAGGAGACGGGACGGGTTTGACGGTCGGCAATTTATCCGTCGAAATGACACATCGCGGCTGTGACGCCGTTCAGCCGGGATGAGCAGGGTGCTGCGTTCATGGACTGCCCGAAACGTCGGAAATAACTGCTATCGTTTCTGCAAGGTTTTGTGGGCGTGAAGGACCAATGCAGTAGCTGTGTTTCAAGATTTGTGACAATACACTTGTGCAAAAAAGATGCAGGCAACACGATGATATGTAAAATTTAAATGAAACAATTAAAACAATTTAAAAACACAATATTGGCCTATATCAAATATTTTCAAGAAATTGGTTTAGGTGTGACCATAGATTGAAAGGATACAGTCTATAGCTACAGATATATGCATATATACACTCTATAATAGAGCCAGAACAATCAGTCAAAGAATTGATGAGTCAATCTACAGAAAAATAATCTGCATCTATTTTAATAGTTGATTAATCACTTTAGACATTTCCCATGAAAAGAAATGGAAAAAAAATGCTACACATTCAAAAGTTCCAGCATCACAAAAGGTAGGTGTCCCTTTGTCATATATTAGACTTTTGGTCAGACAAAACAATGCATTCGAAGACATCATTTTGGATCCTGCAAAATCATGATTGGCATTTCTTCACTATTTTTTGACACTTCATTTCATTAATCGTTATGAAAATAATTGATAGTTGCAGCTTTACTTTATACAGTCTATGGGTCTGATGTTGTTTATAGCAAATTAGGGTCAGGGTTATATTCAATGCAGGATTATCGAAAGGCAAAATGTGATACTTCTCAGGGGCCACAAAAGCCCCAGGTTTACTCTCATATTATTACCTATGAACATGTACTTTTTCACACTTAAGTAAAACCCTCTCAACTTTCCATGTCATCCTTTCATCTAACCACATTCTGAAAAACTTGATTTGCCGATTTCTTTTTATATCAAAATATCAAGTACTTTGTTCTGTCTGTGGAAATTTTAAAGCCCCAGTCATTGGCCCACTCAATCACCGTATCCGGACCTCTTTGAATTTGGTTGAAAATATGAGAGGCTCCTCCCTCGCTTCCAGATGGCTCCATCATCTGAAGATAATGAAAGACTACGTTCTTTTCCCACTTTGCTCAATATTTCATTTACTAAAATGTTAAAAAGGAAAGGGATAATAACACTCCCATGGAGGTTGTCATCAGCCCTCAAGTTCCTCAGGTAGCTCACTTCCAAAGCTCACCTGTCTTGACCTTGTAAAATAAATTCTGCTTTAATAGAGAGTTGCTAGTTCTCTGAAGAATTACATACTTGATGTGATGAATCAAATCTCTTTCATTCATGACACATGGAGAAAAGACCATAGCATGGTTGTTCTCTGAAAGGACTTTCAGTGTCTTGCTTTATATACCATTAGGCAAATAAAAGAACGGTTGCTGACTCCTGACAAGATTGATTCAATCAGTCACACATTCAGGTGTTAATCATGCCTTCCACAGGACAATGGTCCTTTTATACTAACTCCCATTCTTCCTCCTATCCCAGCTTCATATATAGTGAAGAATTTAATAACTCTTCCTTTCACAGCATGTCATATGCTTTTTCAGTGTCAAGAAAATACTGACTGTACAGCTTCTTTATTTGCTATATAAATAAAAAATAAAACACTATCACATATTTTTCTGAGGTCAGGGAGACAAGAAAGAAGTCTGGAACTCAATCTGGAAATGTTGTCCATTCAGGACTTTTATTTAGAAATTTCTTGATCCCAAATTTCAATGGGTACAAGGAAATGACAGGGCTGTGAATCACCATGGCAACAGTGTGAATTACCAAATACCCACCGTACCCCGGGACATGATAGCTGGTCTAAGAGCTTTTCATTTCCTGTCAGAAACAGTCAACGTTTTACGTTGGACTATAAGGCCGCCAACGTTTCTCTCCCTCTCCAAAGATCGGGATGTTTTTTTGTTTTTTTTTTTACTTTCCTTCAATCAATGTAAAGTCTCTTGGAAGTGTTTTTCATGTTGCATTTCACTTTGTTTATACAGAAACACAAAAATAACAGGCTAAGTTACAAACAGGACATGGCAAAATAGTCCACTCATATTTCATGGTTCACCTGTCCGACTGTGAAGCCTCAAAGCTTTTTTCCAATCCTCTTGTCCAGTTTGAAATTACTCCAGAAAGGCGAGTCCTCTGACCTTCTGTGCAGTCTCTCACCTCTTCATCTTCCTCACTTTAACATCTGCAAAGTTCTTCATCCCAGCACAAGTGTGGAGAAACTTATGCGTAAGTGCACCCCGTCCTCTCCCTCTGCCAGGACCAACATCCCAAAATTTTTTCTTCTTTTCTTTTGCTAGGTTGTAAATTCATCATAAGAGCGTAAGTGATGGGGCAATTGAGGAGAGTTTCAGGGCATTGTAGATGGAACATGATGTCTTGGAGTGGCAGACAGATTGGGGTGGGGCTAGAGACCTATAGACTGCAGGGTTTGTCTCTCGGCGTTGTTGAGGTGACCTGAGAACATACTGTAACAGGGCTGCTGGGCGAACTGTGTCAGGAAGTCTGTCAGGTAAGCCTGGGAAAGGACACATTACACAGGTCAGGGGTTTTCACTTTGACACTTTGGAGGTTCGTTGAATCGTTTATACTGTACTGCTTCAAGAAAAATCAAGTAAACATGTATATACACTCATCCAATACAGCTGCTCTGCCATCAAAGTCTACTTTTCTGATGCCTATAATGTTCAGTTTTTGTTGACACTCACAGGTGTGGTAATTAAATGAGCAATGATGTCGTGATGCACTTGTACTGGACTACATTACGTTCAGATGTCCTTCTACTATTTAAATCCTAAGTAAAAAAACATGTAGTTTCCAACAACATCAACAAAAAGTGAACTTTATAAACTTTGTAAAGGTAGAATCTATGACAGAGTTGTTGTGTTGGATTGCATTAGATTATACAGACGTACGTAATAAAGTGACCACTGAATGTATATTTACATTACTAATATACAGGTTTGTGCCTTGATAATTCTGGGAATCCATTCCCTCTCTTGCGGACAGTGTTTACTCAATTGTCTTTTTGCTCCTAAGCTCTTTGACAGTTTACCTTTTGTTCACCAAGATATTTAGGAATGTCCTGGAAAATAATATTGCATGATTAAATAACAGTTGTTCATCAGCAGTTGGGATGGCAGATTGCGTGCTTCGATCTAATAATCCGCCAAGGCGGGCACAATTCTACCCTAAAGCTCCATCATAATTGGAGCATCTTCTGATCTGATTTGACGTTCTAGAAGAGAAAGAACTCTTAGACCAGTGACGATGGTTGCGTCTTGCAGCAATGACAGGTTCTTCCCAGAGAGCCGACACGGTCACGTTGAGAAGACCTTTCATGTGCTACAAAACTTATTAGTAATACTACAATATTAATGATAACAATCATCATTATAATTACTGAAAACAATCAGCAGCATGGTGTTATGATGGGAACAGTTACAGCTCACATACAGAGCATCCCTGCAGTGCCTGAACACAGATCCTCCAGACGGGCGAGAGTCTCCCGACTTATAAATCCACCTTTCTGTACCAACAATGGTCATATTTGAGATAAAGATGTGTGAAATCAAAAGTTTAGAGACTGTACCTGCAGATCAATCTGGTATATGGGGTCTTTCAAGGCATCTGGATCGTCCTCCTCATCATCCTCGTAATAATCATCATCTGCCAGAAAAAAGAAAAAAGAAATAAGAAAAGAAAACACACAGAGGGATATGAGGAAAACATTGGTAACCTGAAATAAAGTATAAGAAACAAGGAAACAGGTATATATTCATGAAAGTTGAAATGAAAACAAAATACAGGAATAGCTGATGCGCAGGGGAGATACTCGTACCGTATTTGTTGGAGGCAATGAGATCAGAAAGCAGCTGCCCTGCAAGCCCTTCATCTTCCTCATCATCATCCTCCCCCTCTTCCTCCTCCTGCTCCTCCCACATGCCGCTGGAATCTGAAACAAGAAACAGCTGGTGACTCAAGTGTCTGCTGTCCTATTCTTTAGGTTGCAGACAAGTGACTGAGCTTTTTTTACTTTTTTATTTATTTATTTTTTTAAATACAAGACAAAGTCATCTGCCAAATGTGACAAAATTCACTGCAACTATTTTCTAGCAAATCAGTTGCACCCTTTAATCACATCACCTGTAACTGTAAGAAATAGTCCCAGATGTGTCACAGAGAATCTGTCCCACTGCGGAAACATCTCAAGTCTGACTAACTGGAAAAACATCAGCTGAATGAGCGTAACGGAAGCATTTATAATATTTGTCCTCACCTTGGCTCCAGTCTGCTGCGTTTGCCCTGCTGGCGTTCGCCTCCACTACTGTCGACAGCTCATTGATGATCAGTTTAAAGATCTTTACTAGCAAAGGAATGTTGGTCCACCGCTCTGGGTCTGTGGAGGAGAAATACACAGTGAACGTGGTAAACCTCCTAACATCACTCCGTGGATGTATTGGGATTGTTGAAACCGCTTTAAAAATATATTTATTAAGTATTCACAGTCATTTAAACATGCAACTATCTCACCAGTCAGAAGCTACGTTTTTACAATATAGAACGAAGTAGTCAAGTTAAGTAACAACTCAAGTTCGTTTGGTGCCTTACTTTTGGCAGATTTGGATCTTGTGCGGATGCCGTCATCTGGGCTGTAGATCTCCTCTCCCTTCACCACAATGTCCTGGAGACGTTTGTCGTCGGTGTTGAGGCCGTGCTGCAGCAGCTTACAGAGCGCCACCGTGCTACAGGGAAAAAAAAAAAATCTGATCAAAAATTGAGAATCCTTGTATTACATATCATTTGAGACATTTCAGTTGCAGCTCTGTTGAAGAGCTATACTAGAAGCAGAAACTGTCAATTAATGATTAAAAACAAAAGAACAAAAACAAAACTGTGACAACCACAGTGTCATTAATGCAAAACACCTAAAACGCAGGCTTAACTAGTATTGTAGAGCCTCAGTTCCAG